AACCTAATGTCCAGAGCTGTGCATATTTTGGTTGGTTTGAGCTGTGTAACAGAAGCAGGCTTCAAAGTAAGAACGAAGGTGCAGATCAGCAGGGCCTTAGGGAGCCGCTGCCCGCTAAGAGCCCCAGGGGCAGCTGGAGAGTGCAGCCCTCCCCTGTGATCCTCACACCATTGCCCACAACGCTTCTCGACCCCCACCTGGGAGAGAGGAAGGCACTTTCACCACTCACACGCAGTTCCTACTGCCTTCTGCCTGGCATATCGGCAAGCTTATCGGAGTTCGGATTGAGAACCAGTCAGCACATCCCAGGATCCACTTGCAGGCTGGCGATGAGGCCGGTGCACTGCTAGCTGGAGATAGGATCGCAGCCACGCTGCCCTTTACGAACTGAATACCTGGGCCTGGCTGGGCTGTGTTGCCGACTTTTCCCACGATGGGTGGACGAGTGTGCCAAATCTGGACGTGACAGTGGACGAGTGTGCCGAATCTGGACGTGACAATCCCACTTTGTCTGGTGGGAGGGTGTGCACATTTGGAGCTGGAGATGTTAGCAGGGCCGTGAGGTCAGACGCAGACGAGTGGCCCAGACGAGTCGATGGGCACACACTCCACTGAGAGACTCACAGGTCAGTGAGGGCCCCGAGCCTGTGGTGAGTATTGTGAGTTACCTATTCAACAGATGGGAAGGGCAGCACCCGGCTGCGAGGCACAGACAATCTGAATGAAGAAGACAGGCTAGGGATGGCCGGGAACTGGAATATTTCAGTTGTGAGAAGATGCCAAAAGGGAGAGTGAGAGGGGTTTTGGGAGACTTTGCTATGAGTCAAGAGCGCCAAAGCCTGAGCCACAGTCATTTCTAACTCACCCAGTGTCCTGGCCTTGGCCGGCATCTTCCTCATCCCACAGCCCTCGAGAAAAGGAGTGAAGGCCAGCGAGTCTGAGTAGTCGGCACCTTCCGGACCCTTCGCCCCGGGACCCCGTTAGCACTCTTCCGTGGAGGGAGTCCTGGAAACCCCGGGGAGCAGCGGAAACTGCAGCCAGGAGCCTCAGCCCTCCCGCGCTGGGGCCCGCTGTGTTAAGTTTCCAGGTCTCTCTCAGGGACAACCAGTCATTCGGGGACGGCCACAGACTTTAGTCCACAAGAGGTTTGCTGTATGTTTCATGCTTTGATCATGTTTTACTGCTTTTTGGTTTGAAGACTAGTGAATGTGCTTTCCAGCTGCTGAAATAGTTCTATAACTCTGAAAGGTTTGATTGAAATCATCACCTTAAAATACCAACATAATATTCATTCAAATTCTAAATTTTGAAAAAAAAAGGCTGAAAATTAAAGCACAGTATTTGGATATTGTGAACTCTTACATTTAACTGCAGAAACAAAACTATTTCAGCCTTTGAAATCTTTTCTCTTTGTCTTTTAATAGCATGACTTTTGAAATCATAGCTATTGTTTAAAAACCCAATTGTCCAAAATCCAAAGGGCTGAATTCTTAATACGAATCACTCGCAGGTTGTCCAGGCCCTGGGACCCCACTCTCTCTGGGGCGCAGCGCAGAGTCCTCGCCCCTCTTTGACGTCCAACTGTACCATCTCCATTAGCGGGTTTCCAGGCCAGTGGCTCCGGCCCATGAGCAGCCCCGCGTCACACTGGCTTCAGAGAAGAATAATAGAGAAAAAGTGCCTCGCTGGCAAATAGCAGGAGGGAATTGAATTATAAATACACTTCACTGGAGAACAGCTGCCGGAGGGGTGTGTGTGGGGGGTGCACTTGAGACACAGACACAAGGGCCATGCACCCAAAGGACAGACCAACCCGCCCGTGTTGCTGAGCGGAGGCGGAGGTTTGCGGGCAGAGGAGGACCATGGCTCGAACTCTTGCAAAAGGTCTTGGCTCAGACGCCACAGAATTTCTTCACCCTGTTACAGAGCGGCCAAGACTCAAAAATAAAATCCCCAATCTCCTATTTTACCAAAAGCAAAAATACTTTCAAATTGATTTCAACTGCGCTCATTTTTGGTATGACGTAAATGTTAAATTTACTGTGGGTCTCCACACTTGTGGTTGTGACATTCAGCGTAGAAGAACGCTTTTCAAGTTGACTTGTTGTTTTGAGGACTCAGGAGGCTGCAGGTCTTCCTCCTGGAGGCATTGTTAGTCCACTGGGAAGTCTCCTGGGGACAGCTCGAGGACGAGGCGTGGCTCGCATCGGCATCACACAGGGGTCCGCACTGATGCGGGTGAAAGTGCCGACTTCTGTCTCTACCCTCGCACGACGGGTCCTTTCTGTTGCGGCCACACCCCAGCCAGCGGCACGAGACAAAGCAACGACGGCCACCAGAAATGGACTGAAGATGAGCGTCGCCTGCCATCCCCGACCCAGGCTGTCAGTCAAGATGGACCACTGTGCTTCCCTCCGCTGCAGCATCTGAAGACTGTGACGTTAACCAGAGATGCCTGCACACCAGACGCGGCAATGCATCTTCTGAGTAAAAGGTCTATCAGTGTGTGTGTGTGTGTGTGGGGGGGGGTGTCCTGAACAACACACGCTGTTCATGTCAAATGCTGGATTTTACTGGGCGGCTAGTCCAGTCCCTGGACAATATGCTTCACCCCATTCTGTTGTAAACCCCCTTATAATCAAGATGAGGGACCCCTTCACTCAAAAGGGGAAAGACAGAAACAACCCATCTATATAAGCCTTAACCTACTCAGTGTGGAGGGCGGGTCTTACCCTTGTGGTGCCCCCGTAGAAGGGAATGGCGAGGCGGCCTCTCACAGTCCACCCACGTGCGTTTCCACTCCGCGCTCCACCCCACCGCTGAGAGCGCCCAGAGCCGGCTCGCCCCGGCCACCCCCCTCAAGTTCACAGCTCTCTCTCTCCAACTGCGCACACACTCGCTCACTCACTGCCTTCGCCACTAAGTTGCCTTCTTCAGCTTTTTCCGTCGGCTCCGGCCCCTTTGGGGTTTGACTTTGGAGAGAAGTCATACTAACAAATTGCGAATGTCTTTTCTTCTCCCAAAGACAAACTGACAACGAGAAAAGTGTCTTTTCAAACTGTCAACCCAACTTTAACCTGACAGCTACCAATGGGGGGAAACAAAAGCCAAAGCAAAAACAGGAGTTTGCTGCACGAGCTGTCGCCGTGCAGCGAAAGCACGTGTGAAAAGCCGGGTTTCTGAGCCCAGTGGCTCTCACAAGTGCACTACACACGTCTTCTCACATTCAAGCTTCGGCTTAAAAAAAAAAAAGCACAACAGGTTACGTGTATTGCAAGGGAAGAAAGATTTAAAATAGAAATAAAACTTTTCTTTTTTTAGAAAGAATACCACAGACACGAAAGACAAAATTCAGAGCCAACCAGGGTGGGGTGGCAAGGGTGAGCCTTTGCCAAGTGCTTTATGATGTTTACACAGAAACGCGGACCTCTTTCCTTTTCTTATTTTTAACGGAGGAGAAGAAGCTGTATTCTGGGGAAGCGCTCTGGATGCTGCTGGCCGAGGCGTAGATCGGATCTCCGAGTGCTGGTTACCTAACATCGATTTTCTGCCCCAGTGGAAGAGATTTTGCTCTGGTGCACGCCATTTAAATTCATTTTACACAGCTGCTTAATGTGGCTTGGCAAGGCCCGGCCACACCAGCTCCGTGGGTCTGGATGGGGCTCCCGAGGTGGGAAAGGACAGATTCTGTGCAGTAGCAGCTGATGACAGATGCTCTCCTCTCACCACGGCTATCTTCCTCCTTACTCACGCAGTGACCTTGAACTCATGCAGTGACCTTGAAGGTACCAGAAGGCAAGAAAAAGGAGGGAAAAACAACTTCCCCTAAATGAGTAGGTTCACCGAGTTCTCTAGTTGTTATTGCACTTTTAGGATTATGTTTATAGAATTTTGTTTTGTTGGTCCACATTTAAAACCATGTTTACAGGATTTAGAACTCTCAATTACAAAATTATCACTTGTTCTTGCCATCGAAATAGATGTATACTGAATATAAAACTATCAGAAAGCTCTCTGTACCACACATTTGTACCTAGTTTAGCAGTTCCATATGTTTACTCTTCAAACAAAGCGGGCTGGCTGGTCCCTACTTTAACCAAGAATGTGGTATATTTCTAAAGAAACTACTGAGTATGATTCAGTCTATGTAGGATAAGCTTATCACTACTATACAAAGGTGATATCAATCATAGTATTTTAGCTTAATAAATCACTGAGTAATAACATACTTTAAGAGTATGTTATTATCACTGAATAACATACTTTAAGTTTGTAGTAGGAAAGAGACACTTTTTGTTGCTATATGTAATTCCTGTGTTGTAATTGGTAATAGCATGGCAACACCATGGTAGGAAAACATCCTGTGTTGGATTATTTGGTGCTATTTCCCTGGTGACTTCAATACTCTACAACCCCTTGGGAGAAGGAAATAACAGAAATCTTCGGCACAGACGTCTGTTGAGTGATGACACAATGAAACCCCCCCTGAGTCCTGTTATTAACCTAGGTCCTGTCTCCGGCAGTGAGTCTCTGGTCCAATGAGGTCACTGCACTTTGAAATCGGGGGTGGGGGGGGGGGCAGGTCGCTGCAGTGGGAGGAATGACAGTCATGCTGTGGTGATAACACAATACAAATACCTAGACGACACATGACACCAGTGAAGGGAGTGATGGTTACTTTTAGGCAGACCCAGCCTGGGGTCCTCGCAGGCGGAGGGAAGGGGCCGAGCTGGAAGCCATGCAGACAGGCCTGGGGGTGCATGCAGGCTGCTACCAAACTGCCGTGCCGTGGATGAGAACAACACAGGACAACACAAACAACCACCCGAAACAAACCAAAAGAAACAAATAAACAGAACACACCCCCCTCTGAGATGGAGTTTCTTTTAGGTCTTTCACTCTCTTATTCTGGGTGTTATTTTGCAGCCGGATGGCACGTTCATTAACAGTTTAAAAAAAAAGGCCCAGGTCCCCAGCGAGTCAGGGCTGTTGCTACCTACCCGTACTGGTCAGGCTGGTGCATCATGGGAGCCTGAGAGTTGCCATAGTTGGGGTGCTGGGAAGAAAACATGGGGCGTCCGCCAGCCCCAGACTGGCTGGGATAAGCAGGCGACCTAACGTATGGTGGCCTAAAGCAGAACAGAAGAACAACTTCTTTGGATGTGCTCTGTAGACAAGTTGGAATACCCCGGTCCACCGTCATTTCCACATGTAGGTGTGGAGGGAGTGGGATGGGCTGAACCCTCTGTGCCGTGCAGCTAGGGCAGTGGGACGGGGCACATTCCTTTGGGGGGGGGGCAGGTGGGACAGAGCAAAGCAGAGGGCAGAGTTGAGAGTCTCAGATCTAATCTCAGCTCACAGTTCGGAGGGACAGCTCTCATTTTGGTCAAAGCCAAAAAGCACGATCCCCATTTAAACTCCTGGAGAGCTCGCTTGGAAATGGTCTCCCAGTTACAAACGGAAAATGAAAATGCAGAGCAGGATACTGATACATCACTTTATGTAAAATGATATGTAAACGGATTCAGAAAGGGAGCCTAGCAGGACTTTTTAATCAACATCTCTATGGTTATCTTCTTCCCAGACCACCATCCAAGGCTTCACATCAAATTTAATCAAGTGCTTTCTACTTAAACAGAAAATAATATGTGCTTTATGAGTTGCAACCGACAATTCATTTAAACATAAATTAGAACTTCAGTTGGACCAGCCAAACCCGTCCTCATAGACGGGTTGATTACAGCGGTCCCTGAAGTCTGCACAGGGTTGGTTTAGAGGTGTCTGCTGGGCTTCAGAAGATGCTGATTTCACGTGGATGAGAGAGAGGTGCAGAGTCAGGGAGCAGGAGAGATGGCGAGAGGGAGAGAGAGAATGAGTGATTTCCATTCTGATTCCCAATGAACTTTCTTATTATTTAGAGGAAACTGTGAGACTGGAGGGATCCCTAACACTCCCAAAATAGTCGCTTCAGAGGAAAAGCAACAAAGGGACACATTTAAACACACACACGCGCACACACACACGCACACACATACACAAAACCTTTATTCCCACTTGGAACAAAATCAGAACCTTCTGCCTTTTCTTCAGAAGACCCTGTTTTCATACACATCTTTCAACTTGCTTTGTTTTAAAATGAGTTTTAATGTATGTTCAACATGAAACATATTTATATGTGCTTCTCTGAAAACATTCACTTTGGCCTCACAATTTTAAAATTCAGTATGTTAATTTCATACAGGTCAAGTATTTACTTCAAGAATTAACTTTAAAATCAGGATTAAAAGCAATGGAGGATGAAGCCTTCCCTGGTCAGCTTACACTTTCTGAAGTGCCGCTGCTTTCGTAAGCACATTTTTGTGTGGGCACAAACAGAGGTAGCCCGGAGTCTAGAAACTTAGGGAGAAGTCTAGAAATCTCACACATATACACTTAGACAAACACACACAATACACATATGTGCATGTACACAGTTTCTATTTCATAAAAATGGGATGGTAGGGCAATAAGAGGGAGTTTTTTCTCAATGGTTCAGAGTCTAACTAGTCCTGGGCTCGAGACTCGCTGTTTTAAAGGGAGCCACACAGATGCTGCCTTCGCCACCGGCTTCGCGGTGCTGGTCCCGCTCTACCCACAGCGGCGGCAAACTGCTGACTTGCCCCCGAATTCAGGTTTCTTATCAGTGTCTCAGAGAGCTGGTCTGTCATTTCCTCTCCTCAGCTTTACAGCCAAGTACAGTGACGCTCCACTGCTCCCCCCACGACCCGGGCCCATGCCTGTGCCTGGCCTGCGCTCACATGTCCACACACAGACCGCCCGCCCGATGGCATACCTGCTTTGTGCTGAGTTTGCAGCGGCCTGCATCACTGCGGCAGCTGCCTCCTGTGCCTTACGGTTCACGGTTGGCATTGGTGGCCCCATTCCTGGCCCGCCCTGCTGAGACATGCCAGGAGAACTGGGGGTCATGCTGCTCATATTTCCAGGAAACGGTCTGCTCTGCATCCCAGCTGATGGCATTCGTCCCAGGGGCACAGCGCCACATGGCTGGCCTGGCCCTGGTCCATGCATCTGGTTGTTGGCATTGATGCCCACGCCAGGCCCTGGGCCACTGTAGCTTGCACCGGGCACCCCACTATACGCTGAGGGTCTGGAGTAGTTACCTAAATAAAAAGCAAACACAAATTAACGCCTTTTACTTATCACCTGGACTCGTGAAAACACTCAGAAAACATTCACTGGAAATACTTTTTGTCCAACAATATGATCAACACAGAATAACAGTCATTATTCTTATTAACTCCCCCCCGCCGTTGGTGCTGGTGAGGCCAGCAGTCTAAACCCGGGCTTTCTGCACAGCCCCAAAGCAGAGAGCCACACAGAACAGCGTGGCCTGGGGGTGGGGTGGGGACCCAGGCTCATCATGATCACATTTACCAACGGGCAAGGGGTGCTAGAACCATGTGCCGCTTCAACATTCCACACGTCCCATTCTTACAGCTCACACCCAATCCTCACTCCAGTCCCCACTGTGATGGCTGCAAGACCACATGACGGTGATGACGGGGGCAGAGAGACGAGGAACCGCGCAGACGGTCACACCCAGCCTCCAAAGCTGCGTTGGAGGAGTCCTGTGGAAACTCGACATTAGTGTCGCACAGGCGTTTTCCTCTGGTGCTGGGAACATTTTTTTTTTTGGTCAAGCACCAGAAAAGCAGACGGCTTGTGCTTAACGCCATGCCCTTCAAGGTACCTTCAAGCACTGGCATGGCACTCAGTGCAGTGAGATTCGGCACCTGGGGAGCAGGCGGGCGGGCCCTGGGAGGAAGAGCTACAGCCACACGCCCACCCACCGCCTCCCGCTCACGCGGGGACGCACGCATGTGGACTCCAAGAGCACGGCTGTGGCGGGGACCATGCCAACAGTGTGGCTTCCTCGCTCCTGCCTCACCTTTCTCTCTGGTCGAGTGCACGTTCAGTGAACTGCAAAAGGCACACTAACGCCACTCCAGCCCCTGCTGCGGACGAGACGCTGGGGCAAGCGCCTGCATCAGAGGTTTCCTTCTCTCCGACAGCCACGTGAAACACAGACACGGCCACGATTCCATCCACAAATGAAAAACCCAACAGCCAGTAGCCCAGGATTCCGGTTCAAGCAAAATGACTCAAACCCACGCAAATGACCAATAAAACGTGCTTCCAACAAACGACAGCTGAAATGACACCCACGTGGAAAGACAAGTGCTTGCAGAACAAGGGTTGGCATGTTTCTCAGTCAATTCTTGGTGCTTTCGGGAGGACACTCCTTGCTCGCACGGCACAGCCATCCTAGGCGCCAGGGCACAGAGAGGGATGCGACCCAGGTCCTGCCCTTGGGCAGCTCACCATCTATTCGTTTGCGCCGCCACGGACCCCGTGAATTTTTCCCCCACAAAATAGAAGATACATTTTTCATTTGCACCAATAACTTGACTGATTCGGGTATTTTGAGTATGTTGGCTGTCTCAGCTACTGGGTTGGCTTTGCTGTTGGCTTCTAGTGGGTAGAGGCCAGGGTGCTGCTGAACACCTTCCAGTGCATAAGACAGCCCCACGGCAAAGGATTATTCTGGCCAAAATGTCCACAGTGGTTTGTTTCACAAACCACTTCTGACACGTTTGATAGGTCCCAGCACCTTCCCTACACATGGCACAAATCTTTTATTTGTTTCGGGTGTTTACCTTTCTTGAAATAAGAAAGCCCAATACGCCAAAAATGTTCTGTATTTTCTTTCATCCTCAATATTAAGATGGATGCACAAAAATTCACCAATTTTCCTAAGTTTAAAAAAAAATGTAGCTGATGTGACAGCTGTCACAACACAAACAAAATTGTTTCGAATGATGATAAAGACAACTAAGTAACACTAGAGCCGTCGCACGGTATAAACGTGACGGACACTTGGCTCGCCCCGTGTTTGCGTGTGTGGCTCGAGGCAGAGTAGCAGGGGTGAGGCAAGAGAAAGACAGAAGCCAAGCAAGACGAGGCACTGTGACGAGCAGGAGAGCTGAGAGGGGCTCTACTGGGGTGAGGTCGGGGGTCTCCCCGGGCAGTGGAGCTGGGCCGCAAGCTCAGGAGTCCGTGTGGGGTGGGCCTGAGGCCGGGAGAGCTGGCGCGAGTGAAGGGTCTGTGTGTGCTGTCTGCAGACCCCAGGGGAGTTTGAATTGTTTCCTTCTCTTCTCTGTAAAACAAGATGGTGCTGTCTAATGTGGACTACCTGGGGAGTTTCTGGGGTGAATGGTGTAATGTAAGGTGGGGGTTTTATTGTGGGGCAGTAAGGAAGGCAGAGGAAGGGCGGGTGCTGATGGGAGGGGCCGGGGAGGCGTACTCTGCAGGGCCCTGTGCTCCAGGCTTCGGAGACCTGGGCTTACTCTGGGGATGAGGGGCTTCTCGAGGGTTTCCAGCAGAAACTGGATTGGATTGGTGACAGCAATGAAAGCAGGTACTGGATATTAACTATGTGCTAAATTCAACCCCAAGTTCTTTGTGTTAGCTCATTTAGTCCTTACACGAGGCACCGGAAGTCCCTGTTATTACAAGCCTCACTCCAGAGCTGAGGAGCCCGGCTCTTGCAGCCCGGCAGGCCTCGAGCACAGATTGGAGTCCGGGCGCGCAGCCCTGTGCGGACCACCCCAGCGTTAAGGGAAAAGCACGCTGCAGCAACAGTCACTTCATGGTCATGAAGCTGGTGCTCCTGGGTCCACACACAGGAAGCTGCATCCCCCAAAAATCTGCAAGAAAGCTGCTTGCTCTTTGTCAGGTACATCATGTGCACTGTATTTGGTCGTCTGTGAAGTATACTACTCGTTGCAGATGGTGCGTAGGTCATCGTCCCTGTAGACCACGGGCCAAAACACTTTCTGTGAAGGGCTGGGGAAGCTCCGTGGGGCAGATGGTCTCTGTCCAAGCTAGGCTGCCACTGCTGTTCCAGTGTGGCCGGAGGTGATGCGATGTATACGCAAATGTGACTGCCAGTGTTCCAATAAAACTTTATTTACAAACACAGGTGTCAGACCTAAGGGAGCCATAGTCTGCTGGTCCCTGCTGTAGACCAGTCGTGGAACAAGCTACGAAAGTGCTCCACCAGCACAGAAAGCGACTTCTTAGAGCCAGCAGAGGAGGAGCAGCAGAGCCAGGCACAGGCAATGTGAGTGACTGGAAAACAGAAGGATGGAATAGGACCAGTTCGACATAAATGACCTCTGGGGCCGCCAGCTCCTCAACTTTAACTGCATTTTTCATGAAGAAACCCTACTCTGCCTTTGCAGAAATAATCAAACTTATACTGCTTCAAGTAAAAGGTAAAAATATTCAGTGTTTATAAACTTAAACATTCTTTCTAAAAAGTTCTTAAGTTGCTTCTGAATCTCCCATCCCACGGGACCACATACAAGGTCTGTTTGCCCAAAACCATCTTGGCGGGAAGGGCGCTTTCGGCGTGTTCCCGTGGGCCGGGGCCTGCGGGCTCGATGCACCGGGAGCCAGAACTCGTCCCTGTGAGCAGGAGGACCTGTCCTCCTGCTCCTGACCTCGCTCACCTGACTTCCACGTTACCTGATGGCACCAGTGCAATCCAGCACTCCTTTCTGCCTCCTGCTTTTGTTAGAAATACATAAGCTCACTCACAGTGTGAATGCAGATGAAATTAATTCACATATTCACACTATTACTTGGTAGCTAGTTTCCACCCTCCCCAGATGCCCATTTGGTGACTCATTTGGTAAGAAACTATGCAGTGAAAACATATGCAATTCTTTGCTTTCAAAGAAAATGGAAGCACACTTTAATCTATTGTTTTAGAAAACAGGCGTGCAGATCTGGCCACTACGGATGAGGCCCACGCGTGGTTTCGCTGGAGAAGGGGCTGCCCACAGGGGGAGTAGAGCTCCGCCCACAGCCGGGACTGAGAAGCAACATCACCCCGTGGGCTGGCACCTTCGGTGTGACTGGCGGTCGGTGGCCGCATTTTAGTGAGCACAGGAAAGAAGTGACCGAGACGCTTGGCCTCCTGGAAAAGTGAGAGGCTCTCTCCATGGAGCTCATGTGCCCAGACAAAGCTGGTATTTAAAGCTTTAAATGAATGGCTCACGAGGCAGCAGTGACTAAAGAACGGGCTCCAGAACCTGGGGGTGGAGGCTGGTTCCAACGCTTCCTAGGGGCACGACCCTAGACCTGCTATTGAACCCTCCTGACCATCAGTCTGGCCACCTGTGATGATAGCAATGGGGAAGGGGCAGAAAGTGACCGGTACAGTTACCTGATAAACGACAGGCACCATCACCACCCTCAACAACAGTTACATTATCAACAACCACTAGTGTGATCTTTTCCTCATAATCTCTTAAAAACATGTGAGAAGGAGTGAAAAATGCCTCATGCCCCCACTCTTTGCTACTTGATAACGTATCTTTCTCCCCCAGATAAACAAAACTCAAAGACGTAAGCCAAGCCAAACATGAGAGGAAAAGCCAGGACTGAGAAGTGCAATCTTATTTCCATGTTTCTCTAATAGATTAGTAATTTGTTGGCACTGGCCCTGACAGAAAACAGATGGATTCAGCACTAAGCACAATGCAGGCAGCAGATGCCGGGCCGGCCCACCTCAGCTGGACGGGTCTCGCAGCCAAGTCCGAGAGCCCACAGTTTTCAAGTGGGTTCATCTTGGCACACCAGCCTCGGAAAATTGGTCACCCGGTGAATTCCGATTCCAGCCCACCGGGAGTTAGACTCAAGCACCAGAGAGAAGAAGCAGGGGCTGGACCCGACTCAAGTCACCATCATTGTTTCAGGAGGACCACAAATAAGTCTACACCTGACTCCAGAATATTTAAATTTGCTACTTATTGTACTAGCCATATTCAAACTTACTGCTTTTACTGAACTATTAAATGTTTCTACTCACACAGGGAATTTTGTTTTTCAGTTTCAATCACTCAGCAATTGCTTGTGGACATGAAAGGTTCTGTATTATTCCCCTTTGCTGGGGAGGGTAAAAATGACATTCAAACCATACAACAGACACTTTACCCTGGGTGGGAATGAATAAATGGGTAATTAGCTACATATCACAAACATATTTGTGCATCTATAGAGCTAAATATGCATTCGCTGTATTTTTTAGCCA